AATCGACGGACGAGCGAAACGAGACAAGAAATAAAATAGAGCGAACAACAAAATACAAGTATCAGTACGGCCGTAACGAATTTTCATGAGACATGTGTAGGAGACTGAGATAATGCAACTTTGACTGGAAGAAGAAAGAATTTATACACAAAAAATTGTTCTTTGACTTCTTTGAAATCGAATCTAGCAGATGTTGTATAGCGACTGCGTTACACAAAGAAGCGGCTTTTAAGAGAACAAGCAGTACAATAAATCTATATTTCAATTATATACTCATATTTTTTACATATTTTTAATGCTAGTAAATCAGATCAAGACAACGTTTGTTTTTTCTATGACCAACACCCTAATTTATCTCCATTATATCATTATATGTATGTCTGAAATCTATTGTTAAATTTTAAAAATGTTGAAACATAAATTTTTAAGACCATAGAAAATCTTTTTAAAGGAATCGCATTTTCAATTTGTACACTATGGATAATACGTAAAACTAAGATTTTTTTTATGTTCTTAAACTGGAATGAAAAATGCATCGGCTTCTAGCAAGCTACGACTTTGTATATATGTCGTAGTCATTGGGCGTAATGCGTCATTTCGTGGAAAGCCTAGTCATTGGCCGTACTGCCGGCAGAAGCTGTAATCAAATGAATATTCCTTTGTTTGACTGAAATTTTACGTCATTTCAGGGATTGCCCACTTAATTCTCGTCAAATAAAGTAACCGGTTAAACCATTACATGTTAAAGCGTTTGACGGAAGTGTATTTAGTCATTTGAAAGCTTGAAATTTTAATGTGTAGTAATTTCGGGCCGTAACATTTAGTAATTGTTGGACTTTTCTTATTGAAAATGAATAATCATAAGAGTTTGTTTTATGACCAATTAAATGAATATTATTTGAAGAACAAAGATGTCAAAAAACCGTGGAATTATGAAGAAATGAAGGATGTAAAAGACTTCTAACCTCAACATACACCTTTATTTCAGTTTTACATATTTTAGGCTGCTAAAGATATTTTACTTGCCAAACAAACTACTGGCAAAAAAACTGGTAGGCAATATCATTGTATGATTTTATAATATTATGTGTATACCTTATTCCAAATAAACGAAACAAATATTTTGCTACAATAAAAATATTTTGTTTTTTTGGCTTGTCTTTTCTTCTACAGTTGGAGACAAAATACTTTGGTCGTCGCTTTTCTGAAACTTTAATGTAATTCAAGCTTTAATGAATGACAATTTCAAATTAATGACAGCTATTACATCTTTCTATCAAAAATATGTAAACTTGTCAACTATGATTGACAGTAGCTAAAAATAAGGTCCTAAAGCATGCTACAATTTAATGTCACTCAAGTGACTTTGACGACCAAAGTATTTTGTCTCCAACTGTACCAAAAATTTATATTTCTACAAAAAGTATCAAACATTTCAAGACTTTTCAGCAAATGACTAAATACACTTCCGTCAAACGCTGTAACATGTAATGATTTAACCGGTTACTTTGTTTAACGAGAATTAAGTGGGCAATCCCTGAAATGACGTAAAATTTCAGTCAAATAAAAGAATATTCATTTGATTACAGCTTCTGTCGGCAGTGCGGCCAATGACTAGGCTTTCCGCGGAATGACGCATTACGCCCAATGACTACGACATATACATCGTATAAATGTTTTATTATTTCTTTATCATATTATCATTTGTACGACAAAATCTTTAACCGTCTTATAAATTGTTAATACTTAAAATACTGAAGTTTTTATACAATTTTATTCAGAAACGTTTAGTTGATAATTATGATTAGGTGCAATAAATTTAAAATACACTGCAGCAATTTCTTGTAGCGGCAACAGAAACATTTTTCTTCTTTCGAATAATACCACCACTTTAACTTGTTGTAAGAGTAAATCATAAGACTCCCATATTTCCCAACTGTTAATTAACTCTAAGAACAACTACCTTAAACGTGCTGCAAATTTTGCGATACTGCGATAGTGGTATGACTAGGTATAAACTAGATCTGAAGTACATGTAGTAATGAACATTTATGTAAAAATAAGTAACGTTTTCCCCCAACAGGAATGATGCTTTATTCTCTTGTTTTTGACTAATAACCTAGTACTTTATTTTCTCGGAAGTAAAATAAATGAAATATCGATTTTTACTTTTAACATAAACTAAAATTATTTTAATTAAATTTTTTGAGTGTTTTTTGACATAAACAAATTTCTTGATATCGAATTTTACTCTTAAAATTGCAATTAAATGAACTGAATATTTTGACAAATTATTTGATTATTTGATTGTTTGCCTCTGGCATTACCTACACTTTCGAGATTAAAATAGTTGGTTATTCCTTTGATACATAAATATGTAACTAATAATTCCTTTAATCAAAGCGTAATAGGTATGCAAACAAAACATCTAATTGATTTTGCTTTAAAAAAATGAAACAAATTGGTAGCTAATTAATCATTTGAGTGGCATCAAGTCAGTTTGTTCAATATGCAATCGAATTAGTAATTGGCAAAGACGAGTAGGTACGGAATTATTACAAATTCCATTAAATCAATACGAAAATAAATTGAACTGAATTTGAATACTCGTATTTTAATTTCGAAAAGCAAATAAGAGTGTTTATCTGCAACGAGATCAAACGCACTCCCGGGAGCCAATCTCTGAAGGAATTCAGGTGACAATTAATCACTTCAGGTTAATTAGTGCGTCAGAACCGCTCGTTGCTTCTGCTCTCATCGAAGATAGTCCGTGTGCAGGTGAACGATTTTCTTCAGATTGAAAGCCAATGGAGCGAAGAAACCAATTTGTCACAAACATTTTAATCTTTTATGTTCACGCATACACGTCGTACAATTTTAAAAAAGGATAATAAAACTAATTAAAATAAAATAAATAACAACAGCGAAATTAGTCATGTAAATTAACCAGTTTTGCGTTAATGGGATTTAATTTTGACTCTTTCACACAAACCCAACGTTAATAATGCGCTCTCTAATGTGTTAGAAACACGTAATTAAGGATTTTTAATGAACGTGTGCTTACAACTAGCTATTTCGACTGCCAGCGGTAATGTAAAGCACAAAATAAAAAGCTAGCCGGCGCAATTCAACCAAAAGAGAAAATTTTAAATAAACTAAGAACGGTTTGTTTTAACATAACTGAAATTATATTTATAGTTGTGTAACCTCTTCAGCAGGTAGCATGAATTCTCCCAATTTTAAATGGATTTCATAGGTCGTTTATAAAGAGCTCGGATAACATTCTCGTTGTTTTATAAAATATAGGTTTGTTTGTAGCAGTGCATTCCATTAGAGTTACGCGAGTTTGATTTCTGAAAACTAATTTCCACATCCGTTCATCAATAAACATTTTTCTCTACTGAAAAATTCTTATACAAACGACTGACGCTAAATAATGAAGGACATTAAGTAGTCCGCAAAATGGCATTCATTTAGTAAATGTGCTAGCCGAATCCGAGTGATTCACTGACCGCAAATGCTTATTATTTCCAACTCTTCAAAATTAATAATAGTCATTAATTAGAGCGAAGATTCTAGGAAAGTCAACACAAAAAATGGAAGAGGAAATGCCAATTGGTTTTTCCAAGCTCTCAAAAGATACAATATTGAGTTATCTGGTATAAGCTTCACCTACTCTCAGAACCTGAGTAGGTAATAATACGAAGAGTGCGTATATCTACTCGATCCTACGCGAAGAAGAAAATTAAAAACGGAATTTACTGGTAATTACAATGATTTAGGCTGAGCACACGATTTATTTATTTAGCGTTGTCAGTAGGTGGGTAAGATATGAGCCACACATGACCACACCTTTAGTATGAAAAATTCATCAAAAAGCTTTGACATAAATAAATTACGAAGTTTAAACAAATCCTCATTACTATCGTTTACATCCTCTTGCATATAATCAAAAACAATGATAATGCACTATTCCCTGGAGTTTGACGTCGTATGAACGACGACATAAGGCCTAAGACATCAATAATACGCCCGCTGGATTCAGTCGACGACATCATGAAGACTAATGATTGTTTCATTGAATGATTACGCCTATGAAACAACGACAGACCGTGTGATATATCGACCCGAGCTCACGCATTTTCGTTCATTAGCTACTTGAGCCCTAATAAATCTAATTAGATTAATACCAACAGCCTCAATTAATTTTAATTTATTGGCAAAGATTTAAACATGAAGACGTTCCGATTTAAAAATCACTTATTTTACTCCTTCATTGTGTTATTTAGCGCATGATTACACCTAAAGTGAAATGAAAATTAATTTAAATAGTCGTGACAAAGCGCAAACAAAAAGTTTAACCGGAAAAAATCTGTAAGTCACAGGTTCGCTGCTTTTAATGGCTTTATAAGGCGGCTCTATGAGAAAAGCGGACTTTATTTTTTCTCGACCCCCAGTGGAAGCTGCAGGAATTGTGGTCGTAAATGATGTGAGAAACCATTAAAATTTTATTTCCATACTTTATTCATAACAACTACCGACCGTAAATAAAGATTTCAGCTGCAAAATAAACACCGCTGCTTTTACACAATTTTGGTTCGCTTTCTGCATGATGGGAATTAATTTGCAAAAATTGTTTATTTTACTGAGTTTTATTTGCACACAAAAGAGTGGTTAAGTGTTTAAGCGTTTGTCACTGTCTCTAGGGAAAGTGGTCAGTATTAGCGTGCGACATGGTCGTCGACGAAAAACCAATTGAGTTTTCCTTTCGGGTTCTACTCTGGTAATAAACGACGCCCACGGTATTCAATAAAATGCAGAGCAACCTTGTTTTAAGGACTGAACTCCTGTCGTCATAGATTCCAATACTGTCCGAAACAAACAACAATTCCTCGACGAATTTCTCCCAATACAGAAATTTAGGATGGAAAAGTAATTTGTTCGGTCTGCCTAAACAGTGTCGAAACGAAAAAGGATGGGCACGGGGCAGGGGAAATGAATAGAATTTAAAACAATTTATTCACACAACGTAATAATGATCGCCTACGAAAAACTTTAAACCTTTTATTGCAGCCATAAAAGGATTTCTAGAATAATTAATCGGTACAATCGCTTTCGGACGATGGCACACAACTAGATGTTGCAGTGTCGAAACTTTTCCCGTCTTCGCAAAGTTGCAACACGGGGAAAGTCCATATTAACATACTTTGGCATTTGTAGTACTTGGAGCAAGAAGGCCCTGGGAAGGTTTCATCGACCGATGTACACTTAGGCTCAATGTTAATATTTTGGTCATTATCGTCTAAAAAAAAAATAGTAATTCAATGCAATACAAAATAACAAGTTCAACCAATAGCTTCATCTGCATTATTTTCTTCACTTTGATCAGTGGTTTCATTCTCTTCTGATGATTCTGAAACGTTATTAATTAATATGTATTACGTTAACGTATTAAATTTGATGAAAATAAACTTACCTGGTGAATATGTTGTAGATTCAGGAATAAATGATGTTATATCTTCTTTTTCTGCACTATCGATATCATCTTCTGTTGTTTCTACAGTTGTCGAAACTGGTTCGGGTTCTGTTTCTGCAAAATTATATTTAAAAATAGTAAAATTGAAAAACTAGTCAAGCATCGTACCTCCACTCTCATCTGAATCTTGATTTTCTTCAGTACTGTGATCTAAATTCATTAGAAGTAAATATTATATAAAAATAAAATAAAACTAAGTTTGTTATGCGAAAATGCTACTTACCTATCGGTTTTTTTGAACTAACAAAAGTAACAACCACGTCAGATTCAGTTGTGCTAATTTCACCGCTTTCTAAAAAAACAACAACATTTTTTTAAATAATTTGTTTACTTTAAAAACCATATTTACCGTCTGAATCATTTTTATAGTCTGGATCTTCAATACAACTAAAAAATGTTTTTAATAAAAATTGATAGATAGCATGATCAAGCACTTACGTAAATTTAGAATTATTTGAGCATAAGTAACCTTCTGGGCACTGAAAAGAATATTTGTCAACAAGTATATGTTGGAAAAATCCTCTACAAAAAACAAATGTGTTCTCATTAATACAATTTATTCCTCTTTTTCGACAAACATAAATGTTTGGTCTTTGATGGAACCGAAAAGCTGTAGCCAAGCTTGGAATAAGAAAAATAACCTATGAAATAACGTATGTACTAAGACTAATTAGGAGTAAGTTTCAAGCGCTTACCACCACCAAAAGCTTCATCTTGAATGCAAATCCAACAGAAACTACAAAACCACTTCTTTGTGGGTTGTTTTAAATACATTTTGTCCTAGGTGTCATGACAAAAAAATAGTAGGTAAAACAATTAAGATAAAAACTTTGACGCCAAAATACATATTTAATTAAAGATAAGTACGAATTAACAAGAACCGCTACATCATGAGAACAATGTAGTAGCCTGAATTCCTTCGCATAAACACGATTTATATTTATTCTACATGACTAATAAAATTTATTTACACTAGTTCCACCACAATTAAGTCATGAATCATAAAGTTATAAAGTATTTCAGCTGTAATCATTGTTAAAAATTCACGCTCCTCTGGACATTTTTATCGTGAGCTACGAATTGCAAATGAAGGAAATTATTCAAGCGTTGGCCATAGTTGATTGAAGCATGTTATTCTGTTTTCAACTCTGATTTGACCAAATCATCAGGCAACAGAAGAAAATTTCAAGCTCTAAATAAAAACCACGGACCCGTATCTAAATACCGCTTTTATAAAAAAAAAGCGTAAACAAATTCACCAAAAAAACAACATCGATTGAGATTTAAAGAATTAAAGCCATCGACTACATTACCTACTTTTTTTCATAAATAAAATAACAGTGTAGGATTCTAAGTAAAATTTGCAGAAAACTGTAGATTAATGATACCGAATTCGTCGATTTGTCTAAAACTGTGGGTGTCAGGGCCGAACCCCTTTGATTGAGAGAGGGCGGAAAACAGTTTATAACAAAAGTTACAAGTGTTCCAGAGGGAGCCGTAAAAATGGTCAGCGCATACGTACCTACATTCATAACCCTATCGCGATATGTTAGAAAATATAGAGAAGCGACGTAATGAAAGAAATAGAACAGTACTTTTGTTTCCAGCTGTCAAAACATAAAACAGTTGTCAATGGTGGGACGGCACAGAGTCACTGCAGGAGTGCCATAACGCGTGCCAGAAAACTTTATAGATTTATAACTTTGGACCCCGGCTAGCGGATATACCATGCTGATATTTATTTCATGGACTCTAAAAGAATGTAGCGTAGCTATCATTAGACACCGCCATTGCTTCGTCTTTATTTTTGAAATAACGGTACCGCCTCGTAATATCTGGATATTTTGTCTAAATGCTACAATAAGTAATTTCGAAACACTGATCCTATTTGAAGAGAATATCATGAATAATATTAAACGGTTTTATTCAGTAGGCAGGTAATGTCTATGTAAATTAATGTCAAGAGTAGAATGTACGCATAAAACGCAAACGAGAATGCTGTTCATGCTATTATTACCTATTTGAAACAGTGCTTTTTCACATTCTATTTTTTATTTTTATTTTAATAAAATAATTACTAGGTTGGAAATTGTAACAAACTGTCTTGTCACAGAAAAAAGATAGACTTATGCACGTTTTGTATGGATACTCTTCATTAACGCAATTTGTTAATTTTATTTATGAATAATTTATAGAGTGGAGCTTGAATCGGTTTATGTTCTCTTATTTCCACAACGAATTTTCTGCTCCATTTTCCCACAGTTTCAGTACAATGAAAGTGGTCCATTAGTTTTATTACAAACACCTTGGCTGAATTTCTCCCAATTGTTATTTTAACATTATTAGCGTCTTACAAAAGAAGATAATAATCCGGTAACGGGCTGCATAAATATACACTTTTGTATTTCTCTTTCTTTGACGTGTAGGTACATACATCTTGGAAATTTAAAGATAAATGTTTAATGTAATTTATTTGTATGTATTTGCCTTAAAGGTTTCAAGCATTTGTTTTTCTACTTCATATTTATTTATTTTGTATTTTTGAGGAAACTAAGTTTTATACAGTTTTAACACTTGATCCATTACAGTTGGAAGGTTTCCTAGAAATAAGTTTGTGAATTTCGCCGACGCAACAGGTACCTGCCATAATTTAGAAGTCAATAAAGCTACTGTATTTTATTATCCAATAACGCCGTTCCAGTATACAAGAGAGAAACATTTGGGAGTGAATAATGTTTTTTTTTGCGAAATTCCAAATTTTTCACCAATTAGTACAACTTTAGGAAAAGAAGTTGAAACTTTAATGACAACCTGTTGTCGAGGTGCAGAAATTATAATTGCGCTGTATAACTCGTCGTTTCTCACGTCGAACTTTGCAAAGATCGTTAGCGAGTCAATAAAATAATAGCTGTCTCCCTGGATTTATCACGACGTGGCATTGCACGGGGTTCCCGATAATTGGTCAAATATATCGTCTGCGTCGTGCGACTTGTCGACCTTATACTGCTTCTGCACACAGTCTGCACCACCGGAAAACTCCCGGAATAATCAAACAACTCGCGGCGCTAAATCTGGACAATTAGAGGCCGTAATGATACGGGTAGATTGTAAAGTAAGACGAGCAATAAAGGTTGGCAAAGAAGCGGAAGGCAACGCAACCATGTAAAGCACGCACTTTTAACACCTCTCGGCGATAAAATAAATTCCGAGGATTGTAAAAGTCTAATTAGTGTTGGGGCGGTTTAATTGGACCGTGTGCACATAAACCGCGACAGGGAGACGCCTTTACAGTGCTATAACACCAAGCTGATATCCGTGTCAACAACTGATAAGAATCGCGCTCGCATGGACACAGAGGCCATTTTTGTATTCCTATAGTGCACTTCAGATGCAATTAAATGGCGTTACATCAGCACCATCTATTTTAATTCCCTATAAAGTAGCCTCTTCACAAAACTCGCCCGTCATCACGACCTCGAAAATCATGACAAGAGACTCAGAAACGCAATTTATTTTAAATTCTTCCCGAGTACTAGTAAGTAGCGGTGTGGAAATCCCGTTATCCTCCTGCCAACTTTCAGTGGAGCACCTGTATTCCTCCAGGAGCATAAAATCCAGCATGCAACAGCGCGGCGGGTGCTTGATACACTGTAAATTAGAAGGATAAATTGAGTAAGCAGGGCACGTACCCTGCAGAGGTAACGATATCTCTCGACCAAGATATGTCTATCACTTGATAACTACATCAAGACTTAATGACGAATATTTTAAAGTTAAGTTAATAATGTTTCTAATCAGGCAAGGTAAAAATAAAAAAGGTAAAATGTATTCTCAGACGAATAAATCGCACTATTTTGCTCTGTATAACACGTCTGACTTAAAGGAAATTACCGTGCACTATTTTTATGTTAATGCAGTGAGTATAGGTAATAAAAAACGTAAGAGGTTCTTTCCAGACTGTCCGAGTCATTGTTTTTAAAATGTTTCGACGAATTTCAGATCTCGTTTAACGGTTATTTCTTTATCGCAAAGTTAATCTATTTAATCATGGTGTTCTTAAGTAAATTTTATTTAAACTATGTGTACATTTCTTAGTTTCAATAAGAAAAAAAAATAGGTTTAATGCAGGACAAAGTTTTGAGGAGACCGGAAAGACGTAACAGTTGTGTCGCCGTTTATGTGTATGTTAATGTCCATTACGAAGTGGTAATAAATTTGTATGTATGTTAATGCCGTTTATCGTTAGTAAATACCCGGAATAGTTGAGAGGCGCCTGCAAGAATCGCTCATTAGTATTATTATCATATAGTTAAATCCTCTCTTGATAATTTAAAACATCCAGGAAATTCGTGGTCGCTTACTGAACAGAATTTTGATTAGAGCGGCGTTAAGCTTCATATTTATTTCGTTGGGAAAAATTCGAAACGAATTTGTTTGCACTTACCATAATTAAAAATCGCCTTTTTTGTGGGCGGGCGTACAAATCTTTTTTCTGAAATCAGATAAAACTTGGAGTTTTCGAATGGCGTTAATTAGATTTTAAAAATTGATAACTCAATACATTTACGTCAGATCAATGACTGGAAAAGCTTGAAAAATAGAGCGGATTATAAAGGTTCGCTGAATCTAATTTAGCGTCAAACAGTTCGCTTTTACTTCCGAGGCAATGAATTGTCAAGATCAGGCAATGTCCAGTGCCAACTTGATGGATGAATGTGTTTGTGCCCCAATTAAACCCCCACACGCACGCAGATATGCCAAAGTTAATAAATTCAACTTTTAAACGCCTGGTTATTAACACACCTTACCCAAGACCGTATTCACCTATTCACGTGCTAAGCTTTCGTGCATAAATCAAATTTCCATTTTTCACCAAAATTAAGTTATTTACACCTATTTCAAATATTGACAAAGGTGGAAAATCATTAATATTGTTGCTTCATTCACTGTTAAGACCTGATAAGGGCAAAACGCGCCGAATAAATTGGATCGAGATGTTGACGTAAATGACTTTGTTGTTCACATTTCATTTAAAATTGCTTTACTAAATTATTCCGCTTGACTGTTATATAGTGCGGTTATTGTCACTCTTACGAACTAGAAATAAAATGACCTACTTAGCACGACCTTATCACAGTTTAAGTAATAAAATTTGTCCTTTTATTTAAGAAGCTTATAAACATTTACTTAAATTGTCTAAAACTCCCAAAAGTGAGCTTTGGATCTGAGTAACAATAATCTTTTAAAACAGTTAATATTAGCAGGAGCAGCTCCTAATTCAATTAATAACGATATTACAAGCCGTCGTAATAATAATAGTGCTATAAATCATGCAGTTTAGCACACATTCTCACATAAAGCTCAAACCCTTCTTGAGTTATCAAGGCGGCCGTGACGTTGCCACCTGAACAATGGAAGATCGGGAACATGCGCACTCATTACTGCTTGTCAGCGGTTTCTAGATGAGACATGCACACTTGAGTAATCCACTATCTTGTCCTGGAAATATTAATTCAGCTTCTGGACGAATAAATAAAAATACTTTATGGTTTTGCCGCGTCTTAGGCGAAAGTCCTTGTCATGCCAGTTAATGGATGCGAGGATCGGCCAGCAGGAATGCAGTCAATGCGGCTATACCCGAACTAAGTTTATGTTAATTTTCATAACGGAAGTGGGGCTTTTGCAGTTTCGTATTCGGCTTCTTTCGAATTAATCTTTAAGGCTCAACCCGAATCTGATATATATCTTATATCCAATATTAGGGGTATGCCGAACACGTTGCCCAGCTACCAAGATTTACCATGAGATATATTACGGTTTCTTTTATGACGTCATAAAACGGAC